TAGGCAGTAGTGCGTGAATTGCCCATTCCATGACGGATGCCCAAGGGAGCGAAAATACTAACTCTGGCTATAATAAACAGGTCATGTACGCCACGGTTGGGTATTAACCAATAATTTGTTAACAGTTCACGACCTGCTGTTTGATTCTGTTCGTCTGCGACTTCACCGCCGGTCGGCTAAACGTTCACAAACACGCCATGCTCCTAAACAGTTTGCGATCTGTTCGCAAATGAAAATGCACCATTCATTGATCCAGGAGGAGGCGAACCAGTTTGTATCAGCGTCTGTTTTATTTTCAAGCACCGAGAAGTTTCCATCTGGCGTTCACCAGCTTGCGATATAATTTCACATATTGTAACTAGAGCAATAGGTAGCAAGAATCATTTGGGGGTTTGAAACTCTCAAACTCTGGAATATAGAAGTGACTGAAGTCGTTCGCCAGCCAGCTGCCGGGCTGAGCAGTGGCCAACTCAATGGAGGGCCAGGAGAGGGAGCACGGCGGCTCCCAGTCAGCTGCTAGCCTAAGTAGTGGTCAACTCAATGAAGGGCCAGGAGAGGGAGCACGACGGTTCACAGTCAGTTGCCGGGCTGAGCAGTGGCTATCTCAATGGAGGGCCAGGAGAGGGAGCACGGCGGCTCCCAGTCAGATGCCGGACTGAGCAGTGGTCGACTCAGTGGATGGCCAGGAGATGGAGCACGGCGGCTCCCAGTCAGCTGCCGCTGCTAAGATCGGATGATCTATGCCTGAGGTCATTTGCTTTCGTTCATGAGGACCGCGATAGATAAAAGAGAGGTAGATAGATAGATAGATAAATAGATAGATAGACGTACAATAGGCGTTTACTGCTCGTATTCTAATCATGCGGTTTCATGCTCTCTTTCCATCGGTCGCTCTGCCGTTTAGGTCAGTGACTTGGTTGGCCGCTTGGGCATCCCACGGATTAGCGAGTGTGCAAACGACAACCACAGCGAAACAAGCGCCATTACGTCAATAAAAACGAGAGAAATAAACACACGGTAAAGACATGATAACAACCACGCGACACCACAACACTCTCGGTTTCAAAACAGAAGACAGTTATCGTCAACCTAAGCCAAGGTCTCTTGTTCGCCAACAGTTCGTGAACCGCTCGCGCTCGTTTACATTCCTTCACGACTTGGACCACCGGCTGGCCGCTCAGGAAAAGTTCGCTCGTTTCTGTTTATGGATCGAAATTGACGGTCACCAAACTTTAATCTACGTTCTTGCCAAATACACATGCATAACATATATCTCACCTCCATTGGTGCAGATGTATTATAACCACACATGTCACGTTAGCCAGAATGACGTGGAGAGAAGAACAAGTCGCTGCAAACGGTCGCCTGATGTCGGAAACTCGCTCAATGAGCTGAATATGATCGCGGCCAATTGATCTCGTTCTGCGCTTTGCAAGGAGAGATAGCCCCGTACGCGAGTTAAAGATCCCATCAAGACACGGGCCATGTTCGCGACAGCCGTGCGAACTAGCTGGAACGAAGGGAACGACTCGAGTCCCAAGTACGCTGGCTCAAATTATGCATCGCATTTTTGCATGTTCTTGCTGGCCGGTAGGAGGCCTTTGTCATTCCGTCAAGTGGCGTATTTGGAGGTGATTCGTAGTGCATTACGAAACCACAATGTTGTTCTAATATTATATGTTAGGTGCACACAGTTAACGTGTGCAAATCGCATGCCCACGAGCACAATAAAAATAGGGGCTTCCAACATTTTTCATCGTTGCTACGTTGCTGCGGGGTGATTGCACATCGACGAAAGGCATTAGGGGTTTACTCAACGCTAAACATGAATGCAAGGTCAATATAGATATGGATATCATCAAAAGTGCTTGCTAAAACCTTTTACAGTTGCACATAGCATCTTGTTTCAGTCCTGCCCATCGCCGACAGTTTCCCGAGCTGGACGCCAGACGGTTCCAGCTGGCCATGCTGTCTGCCGTTATCCAGCATGTCCAGTGTATCGTTATCCAGTGTAAGATGACACTCCAATATGTCCCGAATGACCGCTTGTTTCCTCCCTAATCTTTGCATAAACAATCAAGTATTTTATTTCAAGTAGAGCAGGTTATGAAATCATGAAATTGCAAGAATTCACACAAGTCAGTTGGGAACTCTAGGAGTGGCGCGTTCTACCCTGATCCGATGTCAAACAGTTGTCAGTGATCCACATACAAAATACCCCGTAGAAACTACCCGAATTAAAATGGCGTTCTACATGTATCCGATAAACTTCAAGAGTTTGGTAGGACCAGACCAGCTTCAATTGAGTTATTCCACCAGAGGCCGCAGAACTTATCGCTGCAAAGAGCAATTATTTCAGTGCGAATAAATTCCGAATCGAAAACTCGCCACGCTTGCGCTATAATTTGCCGGTAACGAAATATCACTTCTGCGCGCTCGTACCCCATGGAGTAAGTAATGAAGACAAAACTCTACAGAAAGCTTCATAACAAAACCCATGGCAAAAATATTTGAAACGGATCAGGGGAGGTGTGCTGCAAGCTTCTATGCACTCAGCTTCAAAGCGAATTTCTGGTACACCTTATTTCTCAGTAGGTATAGTATGCTTTGTCATAAAAGGGCAAGGGCTGCAGTGGCCGTGACCGATTCAGCAAGGCGCCAGTTTGAATCACTGCCCCGCAGCTGCGAAACCCATCGATCGGCGTTTGTTCGGCTGTCCTCACAAAAACTACCAGCCGGCGTCGAATGTTTGTCTACGCGGAGGGCGCCGGCGGCTCGGCCGTGACCTAGGACGATTAAGCTGCCCCAGCCATGAGCTCTCGCTGTCAGCGTCGCTCAAATACCAACTTGAATCGACGTCACCGTCTCAGGAGCTCCCTTTAGCAGCTCTCCCGGGTGCGCTGTCACCAGTCACTCATATACGCCACCTCCACAGGGTCATCGCACCACTCGCCGCACGCCCGCGTCCGCACTGTCACAAGCGCAAGTGCTCTGACCTGTTTACCTTTGTGGACGGCCGGCCGGTGCGTACCGTGGGGCGGAGTCGCCGCGCCGGGCCCAATCGGCGCTCCGCTGCGGCCGTCTCCCGAACACGTGCGGCGCGCGCGCGGCCGCCAACACGTGCGCGCGCGGAGGTGACGGTGGCTGGCCGCGCAGGCGCGGACGCGGCGGTCGCGGCCCGACGGGCGAGTGGCGCGCGCCGCGGTGCCGCCGCGTCGGCCACCCCCGATGCGGATTCATACAAGTACCGCGCCGGCCAGCGCGCGGCCCATAACCGGTTCCGGCAATGAAGGCCCCCCCCCCCCTTGAAGACTGCCGCGCGCCAGAGGGTCAATTCGCCCTGCCTTCTGCGCCGCCTGCAACAAGGAAGCTGCCGGCTGGTGGCACAAGTATTCATGCGCTTGCAGCTGGCACCGAAGGCCACACTGCCTCCTGTGGCGTCGTCAATGTCGAGTGCCAACGCTGTGCAGACAGCGAGCCGGTTCATGCGCGCCGCTAAATGGCTTGTTTGCGCTGCTTAGTTAACACAACACAGATGTGAGAAAGGAAGCAACGCGTTATCGCTAACAAGTCAGAACAGCTGTCGGTCTGCCCTAGTTGTTTTACCGCGTATAGGAGCACGGGAACTTCCATGGTATTTACGAGTTGGAGGCGGTGGTGAGTGTTGTGGTGGGAGCAGATGAAAGCATTTCGATTAGCTTATTCCATGCCCCGTCATGATCTTAGTGCCAAATTTTCCCAAATGCCGGGGTCTCGAGCCAATAAAGCCCTCACAACGCGATAGTCCCCACACCTATGGCTGGATGACCGAGGAGCTATTGGAAAGAAACCCACTTCTTTCAAAATTTTGTTTTTAGACCTGACAACTTCAGATGCTCCATGCGACTTACAGTGTCTATCCATATGCAAGCGTAATAAACCCGACCGTGGCGTAGCGTTGCAAGAGAAGTCGTGTTGAACATTTGTCGTTGCCCGTCAGAGACAGATTTAGTATGTCAATACCAGCGCATGTAAAGGACGAGCTTTGCTATTTTTCGTTTTTGTTGGGATGATGCTACAAAAAAATGAGAATGCTTGGGCCACTGTATGTTGTCCCAGGTTTCGCGAAACACTTTAGAAATGTTCAACATTGTTTTGATACCTTTGTTTTGCTATGCTGTAGCATGCAAAAGGACGGTAGGTGACCAAGTAACAATATCGAGTTATATCACATCTGTTGTGGCCATGCTTCGAGAATAGCACACTATGTGTTTGTGACTGTCATGGTTTGGTCTCGTTTGGATAAGATTTCTTTTGGTCACCGCAGTGGTCATTTCAGAGCTCTGGGAAAGGGAATGAGGGATAATGTTGAGGCCAAACTACATACGCCTAGGGGTCCATCCTTCGATGGGCATCTTTCGACGGGCATCCTTCGATGGAATGAATAAAGCCCATAATATTTTTGTATCCCCCATAAAAAATTTTTAACACGCTCCTGACTTATATCGGTTTAGGAAAAACATGGTTTCTTAAGTTTATTGCGTTCTTTATGCAAACAAAATAACATGACGTGAAAGCTTCTGGGTTCTGTTTCAATAACGGAAAACAAATTAAACGAAAACAAAGCAGAATGCGCGTCTTCGAAACCAAGAGCGAAATATTGTGCGTATTTTACGTGGAGGGGAGACAGCTTTCACCAGCAGGGGACTGTTAATGGCCCCAATTACCCCTCCCCTTATTCACCTCAACTCTCGCTGCGCCCCTGCATGATGTCACAGTTTTGCAAACAGCCTGTCAGTCTCCTAGGTTTCCAAGGTGTTACGCTGCCAAGTTAGCTCGCTCAGTCGCTTGCCGGTGGCCGGACGTGGGACGCTGCTTAACAGCCCGATCCAACTGCAGGTGCCTCGAATTCGTGTCCAAGCTGAGCACCTTCTGTCGGCGTGCAGCGCGTCTCGTGTATTTAACACATCGCAGCTATTTCTCAGTTGGTTTCTCATTTGCTAAAGTCAGCTGGCCATGCATTACATCTGCCATCTGGGGGAATGAATCACCGCATTATCACCGCGTGTGTCACCCGTGAACTTGATCAGCTTGTGACAAGCTTAAGAAGACTCCCTCAAGCTGGGAGCAGCAGACCGCATAAAGTGGAGGATTCATATTACAAATATTTTTGTTAAAGTGCTTGTACAAGCACACCCTTTGGGAAGTCTGTTATAAAAAGTCCGATTCGTAAACAAACCGATATGTGAAATAAGTTACGTAGCCGGGGATGTTAGCGGGTGTGCATAGGGTACCTGTGCGTTGATGCATGCGCTTTCCATGATTTGGTAATCCTATGAATCCCGCTGACGAAAAAACTGCAGTAGCAGACGTAATGTGAATACGCAAACTTTACTAAACTGATAAATTTGCGGTGGAAACAAACCAATTCGCTGACGGTTGGGGTATCGAATATAAATGAGTACTTTTAGGATAGTACAGCTTTGGAACCAACCTCAGGCAAGTGATCGTCTTCTTCGTCAGAAACCCGTCATATGTTTACAAAGGCCAGTTTCCGAGGTCACATCGGGTCTTTGGAAAGTTAAGCTCTAAAATCAAGCCCTAAAGTCAAGACGGGTCAATGTGTATCAGGTCAAGCTCAGTGCAGTTCAAATCTGGCCAAGGTCCGATCAGGTCATTTTACATCAGCTATCTCACTATTCCCAGCCTCACGATCTATCACGACTTATGGTGTGCAGGTCAAAAGTAAGCAAAAGTCATCGAATACATGATTTTAGCTTTGAAAAATGTGATGTGCTTGTTGGCCGGTTTATAAAACTATTCAAAGCAAATGATTGCAGAGCAGCATCTATAAGTTCATTCAAGCCAACTCCTGTGTGATGTGATCTCCTACATTATCGAGTGGCACGGTGTTAAAGCAGTGATGCACTGCATAGTGAAAGCCTAAAACCTGGACAGGGGGCTCCAACAGCTGCCTCAAGGAACAGGCGGCCCAAAATGGCCCCGATGCCGACGCGCCCTGAAACACCAAATCACCACCACAGCCGCGAGCCTCTTCGTTAGTGAGATTTGGTAACTGTGACCTTACTTAGCCTGGCAACATTTTTGTTTTTTGTTCACAGAATATTTCAGGCTTCAGCTTGATCATTTCACGACAGCTGAAAAACGGTTGTGCCCAGAAAATCCATCTGAAACAGGTAAGCAGCTATACTCGTACCATGGGTGTGGCCGTGTGTACGCTATAACGTGTAGTGCGTAGCCATTCATTTTGGCTCGTATGTTCATGTGATCATCGGCAAGGTCCGAACTTAAGAAACGTATTGCATACTTAAAGTGTGCAACTCAGAAACTCTGCCACTTAAAAGCACATGCAATACATTTCTGAGTTTCTCCTCAAACACGGATTTTGTACATATTCCTCACAGGGATCTTTTTAACCTATTCTAAAATGGTGTTATGCAGTGTACACTTCCTCACGAAATATCCCTTCCTAACGTTCCCCCGCATATGCATTAGGTTGACGAACACCCTTTGTTTGGAACCTTTAGCGAAACCCACCATGATGAACAATCTGGTGTGCACTAAATACCTGATCAGAGAGCACCGTACCGACGAGCACATGTGACACACGGTAAGGCTGCCATGGTGCAATCGAGGAGACGCGGTGACTCTGGAGCACCTCTTTGCGGATTGATTTCTGGTCCGCTCTCGTTCTTCTTTGCTGAAAGCAGACTTGAAACCTGGGCGAAGACATAATGTGAATGGAGATGCCTGCTACCTAAACCAGATATATGTATATATCTGAGTCTATTTCACTTGCACATAGTTTCACCTTTCAGAGTCAATCACTCGCACAATAAAGGGCATATTTTCAATGTCCACACAATGACGACAAATATCCCAATAAGTGCGTGGTTTCAAAACAGATGCTTTGAAACACAGCGATACATGCTCACATTGCAATGATAATAAATCCGCAGATGCCTAGTATTTCAGCACTTTTTCGGAGTCCCTGGTGCGAGACACTTCTCAACGCTGACATTGTACCTCAGGTGGAGCGACTTCGTGAGCCTCTCAGCCCTCCGCCGAATCCCCCTGAGGAACTAGCCTGAGCCGCATAGGACTGTTGCATGGCATCATTTTGCGTGAAACGTGGCCGTGATTGCGTTCGAAACCTCGCTCCATAATCTCTATCCAGAGACTGAGACCTTGGCGCTTGGGCACTGTAGGCGGGACCCATAGGCGCATATCCGCTAGGCGATAAAGGGCCTTGGTTGTATAGATTGCCCATCCTTCCCATGCTTGTGGCTACACCAACAGGTCTTCCCATCGGCATCTGGCTGAAATTTGTCATGCTTCGACTTATCATTTCTGGTGTTCGATATTGCAAATTCCCTGAAGGAAACATCAAAGCCTTTTTGAACTCCTCTACGTCTGCTTCTATCTGAATTTCTTCCACTAGGTTGTATGAGCGTGTAAACATTTCGAGGCTCCGTCCATGAAAAGTCAACTGCGAGTGACAAAACTCCAGAAGAATTCTCCTCAGGTCACGGAGCTTTTTCATTTCAAAGTACTCCATGCTTTCTTCTAAGGCTGCATGTGTTCTGGCCACATCAAATACTGCCCTTTGAAGCTGTGCCTCGGCGACAGAAACTTGTCTTAGATCATCTGGAGCCCTCTCCCGAACTGAATCAAGTTTTCGACCTGTTTTGGCCTCCCTACCTTGAGCCTTGAACGATGACGTCAAGTCACTTCGGGCGTGTTTGCATGCCTCTTCATACGCTGAAAGGCCGCCAACTACTCTCATTTCTATTCTTTGGACCAAAGCCTGTTGCAAGTCCGCGATGCCACATAATGTATCAGCTAAGTGCGTAACTTGAGCTCTCATGGTACGGTTCAAGGTTTCCGTATCAGCGTATGCCACGATAGTTCTGGCAAGATCATCCACGGCGTCTCGACACTTGGCATTTTTTCTTGCTGTCCTAGCAAAGCTTTCGCACATGAGACCAAAGTGATGCTCAACATTATCGATTCGGCTATGAATGAACTTAGCTTGTGTTTCACTCACGGAATGGCTAGTCATAGCTTCCACCTGCGGCGCATATTGCTCACATGGGAAAAATTATAGACATGTATGTTAATATTTGTTTTAGCTACCTTGGTCCGACGGACCTAAAACTTCGTGAGCTGTGATCATTTTTCAAGTTGTTTTTTCGTCCGCGTGATTAATTGGCGCTCTGACGCGCTTGCAGTTTACAGTTTGTCTCGTAGGCACTTCAAATCATAGCTGGAATTTATAATTCGAGCAACAACCTGCTTCTAGCATGTATCTTTCAAAAATTCATGACATAGTCCAGGAACAATGGGAAATAGCGAAACATATCAAAATTTCACATTTAATCTGCCTTCAGCTGCCTATCTGTAGCTGTGGTGGCTGGATAAATGAATTTTGCTTCTAGACGTGCCACCTTCTGAAAACGGTTGGGGGCTCAACCGGCAGTGTTGGTCGTACCTGTTCTCAAAATGCTGTGTTTTCCACGGCTTTAGGCAGCTTTAATCTGCGCCCTCAAATTCCTAACAAGAATTATTTGACGACTCAACAATAGCTTGCTTTGGAGGAAGCAACGCATTGCATTCTGCAGTTGCATCTCCCCTTGCATTGCATCGCACGCGCATTTGTGTGTCAATTATGCATCGATATGAGCCTACAGTTATCTGAGAAGCTTAGAATTAGTTTTAGCTCACTGTTGTACTGTGATTAGAAGAGCCTGATATGATAAAGAATATGTCTCTTTTAGCTACCATCGAATATGGTCTTGACGAAGAAAGACTGTTCTGTTCAGAATAACGTGGTCGGACGAGAGATTATGGGCAACATTTGTGTACACTGACAGGAGTTCCCTGTATCTAAAACTGCAGCTGAGCTGGCACAATCACCTCAACAAGCATATTGATAGCTAAAAGGACCGACAAGGCAAAGGCTGGTGATCAACGTGACCGTCTTAAAAGAGGGAAGTCAGTGCTTTGCCACGAGTTGGAAGTGTGCCTACGGGAAGAGAAATAAAGGAATTGTTTGGGCGTATGAAGAAGGCCTTGTTCAGGAGAATGAAAGGCAAGCTTCACACCGTTTATCATCGAACTGCCAGTGTTGCGGACTGCTGCATACATCTTACACTACATATGGCCGGAAGCACAAACTTTGTATGAAATCAGACATTTGACATTTGACATTTGACATGACAGGGCAGACATTTTCCACCCTTTGAACGATTTAATTCTTTGTTGAGACTCGAGTTACACTATAGTTACCCCGTTAAACGTTGTTCTTTCAAACTGGCAATTACGCTCAGCACACACCATAAACCACACGATTTTGTGCAGATCCCGCCGGAAACATCTTTTCGCGAACCCCGTTGCACCCTGCAGAGATAGGACTTTCTTCGTCCATTCTTTTTAATCCTTCTTCTATCCGCCCTTTTAAGTTGTATGCTACAGTGCATTGCCAGCAATAACAACACAGTTACGTGCAATACGCCTTACAGCACTTGTAAATTTGTGATTCGACGACCGAGTTCGTGGATATGAATTCCGGCTCTTGTCTAAAATCTTTCACTCGAAACGCTACTAAGAGTATAAACTGTGCACTGTGTCGCAGCTTGAAAACGAGTCCAGAGCCACATGCCGTAGCCCTGTCATGGGGACATGTGCGCATTTTCCGCTTTCCGCTTCCGCCATGTCCGCTTTTTCCGCAGAAAATCTTGGTCATAAAGAGCCAAAGGACGGAAAACCCTGCGGACGGTCCGCAACTCTGACAGTCGGCGCCCTTTCTTTCTAAGCAGAAATATTTGGCAGGTCAGCGCCGTTGCTGGCATTCATGCGGCAATTGGGTTATCAAACCCATTTGGAGTGTTCCGGTGTTTCAGACAAGTCTACAGTGATAGCAATGTTTGCTGCATGCATTTTTTGAGTGTTATGTTTTGTTCTTGTTCTTTGAGAACAAACATGTCTCATTAAAGAACCGCAAAATCACTAGGGTTAACAATGGGGACGAGGGATAAGAAAAAAACATGATTTTTAGAATACAGATGAGAACAATGCATGTTTCTATTTAGACTTCGGTGCGCTTAAATTGTATTTTTGAAGCCCCTTCATTTGTTCCCGGCCACTCATGCGAGTTCATGGAGCGAAAAGCAGACATTCGGAAATATCTAGACCTCTGAGATTAATTTGGAAACTGTCATATAAATGTGATGGCGCATGCTGCAAAATAACACACATGTAAGATAAATACAAGCAGACCCCATGCATTGCCTCGGATCCTGTAGACGAGTGAAAAGGCCTTAATCGATACAGTTAAAACTTGGCCAGTCTAGGTTAAACTGCAAGTTGGTAAGGCACCGAGGGTGCGCAAAAGCTGATATGCGGCAGATGAAATACAGGCCGGTGAATCTGAAAGGGTATATACAATTGGGAAGTCCCGTGGTATGCTCATGTTAAGCCCTACCTCCCTCCAAATGTTTTCCTGGTTATCTCGTCCATGTGGGGCATCTTGCATTATCTATTTCAATTTGCAATACTATTTTCCACCAGTCTGGTCAGAAACTGCTTGATAATAAGAAGTCGAGCACAACTGGAGAGCTTCTTATGCACAAGCTTGAAATAATAAAAACATGATAGCCTATGTTATAAAAGCGCTAACAACGTTTAAAGATTGACATAGCATATGACGGATTTGTCATGGCAAAAAAATATAAACTCTTCTCACACTAGCAGCATTAGAGAGACCTGAAAAAACAGTACCGAACAATCCGTTTCTCTCTTAGTTTAAAAAACAGCCTCCAAATGCTACTGTGGAAGCAATGTAAAAGTTGCTGCCGATACTTCAAACTGCCATCGCCACCGTTGCAACTCTTCATTACCGGATGTTGATCCATAGACGGTCTGTGGTCCGGACCAGCTGATGTGCTGCCCCTTACCCGCGTGGTGTTTCCCTGGGGTGACAGTGTCTGGTGTCCAGGCGCCGATGCAGTCATGTGTTGCCGGTCTGGGCTGTCCCTGGGGTGACAGTGTCTGGTGACCAAGCCCCGATGCAGTCATGTGTTGCCGGTCTGGGCTGTCTCTGTGGTGGCAGTACGTCCGGCTGAGCGCCGGTGTTTTGCAACGACAACGGAAACCAAGAAACAGCGGGCGCGCATGTGCGTCTCATGGTATACTCTATGGCCTAAAGACTCTTATGTCAATATCCGAGGTGCCCTTTTAGGTACACTATTTGTTTTGTTATAGAATACGATGTGCACTTATTGTTCGATGCAGCAATTCCCGGTAAGGAGTGACTAGTCAGACATTTTCGTGCCCAATAATTGAACATTTCCCAACTAAATGTGACATCTGCCACAATCTTTTCAAACTATCCGCCAGGGGTAGAAAAAATGACTGTTTTGTCACCGACGTAATTCGGAATAACCTAAATTGTTACCTGGAGCCAACTCTATCACAAACCTTTGCAATATGATATAATAATAGCGATAAAAAACATGCAGTAAAGATCAACGAAATGCAATGCGTTATAAACATCAGTTTTTTTGTTTGTTCTGGAAGCTTCATTTTCACTAGAGTATCATTTGCTGGCTATGCCAAAGCCCCTGTTGATTACGACGTGGGTCTTGGTGCATGGGTGGCCGGCGCAGCGCGCTTAAGAACGGTGAGCACGTCGTTTCGGTTCCAGCCTGAGACAACGTGTGTAGAAAAAAAACGAGATCATATTTGGTTAGCGGCCGTATCACGACCAAAACTGGCGCGTAACAAACTCTATGCACCATCTCGCGACATACGAGGCAACACCAGCGCTTGAGAAAAAACTCTTACAGTGTGCAATCCATTTAAAAATCCGTCTCCATCGTTATGCTACCAGTTTTACGCTCCTCTTTGGTATTACAAACTGCGCTTCCCCAGGTTGGGAAACTCTATGTTGCTTTATATCACAGCTATGGCTTAAGTCTAAAACTGCAGAGTTTAAAATAAGACTCCAGTTTTCCATATAACAGAGCTCAATTTTCAAGCGTGATCGGTTGATTATTTCGGATTTCAGGCGCTGCAACTATTTCGTTGTATGATGACCTACTTTAGTATTTAGCAACCAATCCATGCCTGACGAAGTTTTTCTTCCCAATCCAGAACCACTACCCAGAGATTCAACACTGGATGACTCGTTTCCCGGCCTGGGTTACATGGATGGCCGGCCAATGTCCGCGTAACGAGCCATGCTTAGCGTGATTGGTTAATCATTTCGGATTTTGGACGCTGCGACTATTTCGTTGTATGATGACCTTATTTAGTATTTAGCAACCAGTCTGATTTTAGCGCCGCTCATAGACTATAATCGCAAATTCTTGAAATAGTTTCTAGGCAGCGTACATATCATAACCAACCATATCATCCGCCCGCTTATCTATTATTGGCTATTCTCGTACAGCACATCCAGCTCTGGACCGAGGAACTGACGCACAAATATCGCGCATGCGTAACAAGAATAGTAAGGCCTGAAACGCTTGTTGCATTAACCCGGACTGTAATATTCTAATGACCTGTATGCTAACAAAGCGTGCGGTGCCAGTGCCTCAATGCAGCGGCGGCGAGCCAATCACTGAAGTATCGCTGCTCTGATCATTGAGACTGCAGAATGTCCTACACAGGAGCAGCTCAATGTCCTGCACAGGAGGAGCCGCATGTGCGAGACAGGAGCGACCGTCGGCTACAGGAAAGGCCGCGTGTCCAGGACAGGACCGGCCGCGTGCCAGCACATGAGAGGCCGCAGGCTCGTCACAGAAGCATCCGTCCAGCACTACGGCGCCCGTGTTCCTGGCACAAGAGAGGCCAGGCGTCTAACGCAGGAGCGGCCGTCCAGGATTGGAATGGGCGCACCTTTGGCACTGGAGTTGCCGCGTGTCCGGCACAGAAGAAGCAGCTCGTCGGGCACAGGAGAGAGCGCATGTCCGGTACAGGGGAGACCATGTGTCCAACACTGTGTGGGTGCCTGTGCAGCACTAGAGTGAGCGCACGTTCAGCAATGGAGCGGGCGCATGTC